TTTGCTCCGGACAACTCGTCCATAGACAGCATGACGACTGACGTGAGTACCCACCTTGCTTTGGCAGGACACCAGCCGAGATGCACAATTGCGCATCGATGACCGTGGTAATCGGTTCCGTCTCTTTCTGAACTATTCCTTCGTCCTCACTTCTTAAAGGCACTTTCCGCGATAAAATAAGGCTATAATCTTTAAAATGTGCAGACGATCCGGAAGGAGATTGCGGAGGCCTGCGCTACCTTTAGAAAGTGAAAATCCGCAAGAATTCTTCAAGCTAACCAATTAGGCCCAAGGGCGCCCCTTAGGCCCATGCCGACCCCACCCGGCTGCTAGCTACTAGCTAGTAGCCACTATGCTATCTCTCTCCATTCCGAATGGTGAGAGTGAGGTGATAAGATAAAAGAGCTGATATCTTTATGATAACGACGAGTGGAAATTCGTACAAACATGCGTTTTCTTCATTGCATGCATGTACAAGTTGGGGTCGATATGGAATCCTATTTAGGGCATTTTCGGCTGTTTTTCTGCTGCTTTTCTCCGCTACTCAGATACCTAGCCCTTTTTCGTTCCTATGTGGGTTCCGTTACCCACAATCTGTGGTCGCGGGATTTGCCTTTAATTTCAATGCCGCTTACCTTACTTAGAAGTGGTTTGATCATGAACACTTTCGAGTGAAATTGCAAGGTCCAAGAATCTTGCAGTGCATGATGAGCGGTCCTTTCTTATTGTTTTTGTCCACCCATTGACCTTACTTGAGCGTGCTCCAGTTCGGACATTTTGGCTTTTCTTTCAGTTGGCTTACGGTTTTTCTGTTCCCTGCAAGATATCCTGTAGCCTGGACACTTTTACGCTTGAAACTTTCTCTCATTAAAGGCAGCGCCCACTTTCATTTGGTGTTCCTACGCCTTCTTTGGATATCGCAGCTCACCCTATGAGGATGTGTTCCTACTAGTTTCGCAACTCAAAAATGCGAGAGAATCGCGGCGCCCGCTCCTGAAGAGTCGGCCACCCCGCCCACCTGGCAACCACTGCGCCCAACTTCTGGTTGCCTGATGGTGCGGTTGTTCTGCTACTAACTCTCTCCACGTCGAATGGTGAGAGTGAGGTGAAAGGGAAAACAGCTGATACCAACAAGTGAGAACTCGTGCGGCCGCGCCTTCTCTTCGCCTCAAGCACGTACAACATGGGTCCTATATGGGGCATATCCGATGTTTTTTTTTGCATTTTACTTCACTAATGAACTACCTTAATGTCACTGTCTGAGCCCCATAACTCACATAACTATACTTCCATTTAGCTAAGTAGTATTGATAGAGAAGTGAAGACAAAAAAGGACAACTCTGGCAAAGTAGGGCGAGCAATCACGAATATGGACGAGTTATCCGGAGCAAAATACGGCATGCAAGAGCTTGATATGGGAAGCAATCACGTCCGCCAGCAGAGCAGCCTGCCGCGTAGTCCCCTCCCCCCAGCCCAACTCGTTAGCAAGTACCCTTCTCAATCAGATATGTGAATCGGAATGAACACTGTCATACCCCCCCCCGCCGCTCAGAACAAACGTATGGTTTCACTGAGAAATAACGCGCTCCACATACATGCAATGCCCCACGCGAAGCACTAACGCTACGCTGAAACCTGACTCGGTTTTGGCGCTGTTCCTATTTGCCCTTTACTAAATGGCCTGCTCGCTAACTTCTGCTCTTGACAGTGGGTCA